TTCAGCCGCTGTTGAAACTGATCAGTTTCAGCAGCGGCTGAATCTGGACGCCAGTTCCGACTTACATACAGATTCAACTTAAGAACAAACCTACAGTCCCTATCTTGTACGTAACCCGAGGACTGCCTGTAAAAGGAAGTATTTTTTCACACAATCCACAATCAACTTGTGGAATTCCTTGCCAGAGGATGTTGTGAAAACTAAGACTTTAATACGGTTCAAAAAAGAACTAGATAAATTCATGGAGGTTAGGTCCTTCAATGGCTATTAGCCAGGATGGGTAAAGATGGTGACCCAAGCCTCTGTCAGAGGCTGGGAAGGACTGCCTGTAAAAGGAAGTATTTTTTCACACAATCCACAATCAACTTGTGGAATTCCTTGCCAGAGGATGTTGTGAAAACTAAGACTTTAATACGGTTCAAAAAAGAACTAGATAAATTCATGGAGGTTAGGTCCTTCAATGGCTATTAGCCAGGATGGGTAAAGATGGTGACCCAAGCCTCTGTCAGAGGCTGGGAATAGGAAACAGGGGAAGGATCACCTGATGATTCCCTGTTCTGTTCACTTCCTCTGGGGCACATGGCATTGGCCACTGCTGAAAGACAGGATACTAGGCTAGACAGGACTTTGGTCTGACCCAGTATGGCTGTTTTTATGTTCTAATCAAAATGAAGGTCCACACTAGCCGAACTCTCACACTTGTTATTTTCTCAGAGAGAAATTCAGCCCCATTAAGAGACCTCGCCCAGATTTTGGGCCTGAGCAGCATTTGTAGCTCACAATGCCATTGCCGATGCTCTGCTCATTATAGGATTAGGAGAGTGGAGTTTCCCAATTACACTGCCATCTCCATTTTTCCAGCTGTGAAAAACCTGCTCAGTAGAATGGAAGGGAGATATTTGTCTCAGGGCTTAAAGCATACAGTATGGACCTAGAAGTCCTCAAATGGACAAGTCTACTGCACTGCAAGCCCTCAGCTCTGTAAGCATGAGGGAAATATATCAGTGCAAGTATTCAGACAGCTTCACATAGGGTGAATTAGGGTTTCCAATTCCTGATCATGTTAGAATCTTCATTATGCGGGCAAAACAAAACTTGTAATTGTGCAAAGATTATTTTTCTGAGGCCCCAATACAGGCAGGTGTTGAGAAGGTGACTTGCTTTCTTGGGGTGGGCAGGAGTGGGAGGTGTTTAAGCTTTTTAAACCATTGTTATTGCAAAGTCAGTACTGCTTCTACAGCCTGCTCAGTTGCTGAAATTCCTTCAGCTTATTTGATGCATACAGTAAAGCATTAAAGTCACTGCCAGCATGCCCCTTGCTCACCTACAGCTATCTAATTTTGCAAACAGGCCCCACCTTCTGCAGGTTAACCTTGGGGAGTTTGTGACTCCAAGAACTTTCCCCAAAACTAAAAAAAAAAAAGTCACTGTTTATTTCATGGAAGAATGTTGAACCACAATTCTCAATCACAAAGTCTTTCGGCAACTTTTGCTCACAGAACTCAATCCAAAGACTGTGCATTCACCACCGCTGCTGTGGAGAGAGGGTCTACTGGAGGTCTTAAGAATTTTGCATGGGTATTAAAGTAATGTTATGCATTCTATGGCATTGTCACAACAGCATGAATGCTCCAAAACAAATCTTTGAGAAAACAAATGGAAATTGGGACCAGGGATTAAATTAAGTCAGAATGAACCATGGCACCAGTCAAGTCCATGTAGTGGCTAGACCCATAGACTGGGACTTCAGAGATCTGGGTTCTATTCCTGACTTGGCTACTGGCCTGCTTGGTGACTTTAGTCAATTCATATCACTGCTCTGCAGCTCAGTTTCTCTCTGTAAAGTGAGGCTAATTAGGATTACTGCCTCTGTAAAGTGTTGTGAGATCTATGGATGAAAAGAGTTAATTTGTCTTTAAGGGCTCTATTAGTGTCACTAAAAATTGGAATTTCTTTGAGATAAATGTCAAACTTGTATGAATACATAAAAATTTTCTGAATTTGAAGTGATTTTTTGTTTACATGAGGCTGTAGATGGAGAAACAATGAAATACATTCATCAATAGCATGACCTCAGTTACTCTAAGAGCAATCAAAGAGCTCCTATTCACTTAAAGGGACTGTTAATACTAAGGTTACTGAATGTTCCCAAATTGTCATCAACCAGTTTTAATAAGGTTAGAATGTATTCAGTAATTAAAGATCATAAAGAAGCTTGACTGGATTTACTAATATAATTAGATAATTATACAGCACATAACAGAAAGAGATACATCACCACAATCTGCAAAAACACTCTCCTGTAGGATGAACACAAGGGTGTTTAGGTTGCACTATTTGTCTGATCCTAGTTTTGAATTTGATCTACAAATTGACCTTAAAATAGCCAGTACCATTTACGATTTCAGTCTTATTACTTCTTCTTTTTCACTTACTAAAAAGATAAGTTACTAACAAATGTCTGTAAGTCTCTCAACATTAATGCTAACATAAACACATGTATTCTTGCTAATACATACATCACCGAAAATATGTATTCTTGACAGGTTATCATTTTCTCTTCTTAGCATGACTCCCAGAGCATCATGGAGAAGTCTGGCCTATAGGTCAACCAACACAATAATTTCATTGTCGTCATTTTTACTCCCGATCAGTTTATTAAAATCTTCCAGCTAACATGCTTATTCAAGAAGGCTCGATAGCAGAGGCTCTGAACATGAGAATGACTTTTTAAGTCAACACGGAGTTGTTCATTAGGGTGTGTTTCTGTGCTTAGTCTGGTTCAGTTTTAAATGCTGCAAACCCTAGTACTTCAAACAATCCCTTAAGCCACTATTCCCATATAGTTAATCTAGAACTGACTGCTCCTAGCCCGTTAATATAGCTATAGAATGTCTTGATCTCAGTTGTGGTCTCTACCTGTTACTGTAATAAAGGTGGCAATTATTTAATTCAGTCCCCTCTGTCCAGCACTACCCCAGCTCAGTGACTGCCCTCCACTCTATACCATTAAGTCAGTACTGCTCCCACTGTA